AGCTTAAAAGTTGGCCGCTATGTGTGAGCCCTCAAGTTTCATGAATGGAGATTAGTAGTGATATCGTACGGGCCCTCTGTTGTCTAAACGGTATGAGGCTCGCCGAGATAGAGAGAGATTACTGGTTTGATTCCCACCACCCACGAGAGACCTCTTTCGTATAACTATAATAAGAAACTTTCGTTGATCAACTATGTTTGGTGCGATTATATATCATTTTCCTTTATATTTGAGCACTGTATTTATTTGATTTATACATTATTTGTGTTGCCAGTGTTAAGCAGCAACTTTATTTGAATAGGCCTTATTATTTGCTATGATTTACCGGCTGGTAGTAGGCCTAAAAATTGGCTTACCATGTGTAATTCCTCAAGTTATATGAAGGAAGCATGGGCGTAGATCCCGGGGGGATGGGGGATATATATCCCCCAATATTTGACAAGGGGGAATGGTCCATTGTATCATCCCCCCCACAATATTTTGACTATGTATAGGATAAAATGGAGCTTTACATACACACTTCAAAAGACTGTCACAGAAATAATTTGTTCTGTCTTATGCGCTTACAAAGATGAAAATTTTAGCATAATGTATGTTGATAACAAAATTATTTTATCTGGTATCAATCATCTCCCCCCCCCCCCAATGAAAAATATTTTTCTACGCCACTGGAAGGAAGAGAGAATAGTTGTCTTAGATCCGTAATGATAACGAACGGGCCTTTGTGGTCTAAACTGTATGATGCTCGCAGAAATAGCGAGAGATTGGGGTTCGATTCTCACAAGAGAACATTTTTTTTCACATAACTACAAGAAACTTTCGTTGATGAACTATGTTTATTTGAGCACTTTGTTATTATCTATTTTATTTATAAATTATTTGTGTTCCCAGTGCTAAGCAGCAACTTGATTTAAATATTATTTGCTATGGTTTACCAGCTGCTAGCCGCTATTGCGTAGCTTAAAAATGGCCTCAACTATGTGTGAGCCCTCAAGTTGTATGAAGTAAGGGGGACAGTGGTCACAGATCCGCAATTATTACGGGCCTCTGTGGTGTAAACAGTAGCGAGATTGCGGATTTTTCTAGAGACCTCTTTTTTTCATAGATTAAGGAACTTTCGTGTTTATAACATCATGTTCCTGAGCAACCATTTGATTTATAATTATTTGTGTTGCTAAGCAGCAACTTTGATTTGTATATATATATAATATATATATATATAATATACATATATATATGTATATATATTCCTCTTCTTTAACGATTAAAGATTCATTTATATATACTTACAGCACAGCAAGACGATTTAGAGTTTATCTCTATTGGTCAATGTTCGGAAAGGTCAATGGTTGGTCAACAACAACTTTCTTCCCAGCAAAATTATTTAGGTCTAACATATTTTAACTACTGTAACAAACACATATTACTACAAGTTCATATTTATGTATGTTGGAGTGCTTAACCTCAATTTCTTCATAAAGTCATTTTGCAATAAACAAAAAGCAAGTAATTCTCTGACGGTCATTTATGGCCAAAGACACGAATCTCTTACGTTGTTGTTTTATTGAGTGATGTACTAGGTACTGTAGGCCTATTATTACTTTTATTCAACTAGACTAAAAAGGATTGTAGTTACTGTGTACAATATTAACATTTATTAATTTGCCATGTTTAATTTATTTTCAAGCAAAACCATGGGCTTTTGACATTATAATCCTGCTAATTAGTTAATTAAAGAAAATTACAGTCCCTGACTATTGACGCTAATCCGAAGTAAGAAACATGTTTGCAAACGTATCTTGCAAATCATATACCGGTAATGGGCCGGTCGTCAGCGATTATCGTGTTTAGCATCGATACAAATTAATTTTACCAGTGAACTGTATGGGGACAATGATGTTTATTACTTTCAATTTTGTATAATTATTTTCAATCATATTTAATGTATACCGTACATTTTTACAGGCTACCCATTGTACATCGTTCTGCTATATATTTTCTGGCATAGGCCTATGCCACCGATTTAAAATATGCGTTTTTATGTTATTAATTCAATGCATGTTTACGGGTTACGGTTAGATTACGGAAAGCCGTGACTATAAATTTACTGTAGTTAGTGATACAACTCTTATTTTAATGTTATTGGTTTAGTCTGTATTATATTATTAACTGATTGTTATGATTTTCATCATTTAATGAATTACATTTATTCCATTCGATGATGGTTTCTCAGTGTCAATTATTTTTGTATGTGTATTTCCAGCCCTTACCAGGACACAAAGAATATTTTAAGGGTTTTAATTAGTGCATGTACTGTTGTTTGCTGCCATGTAGTCCTACAACATTTTTATCCAACATCCAATGCCGATCTGAATCAGATGATCAGATAGACCTAATTTACGTCGATCAATCCACCATCGCATAATTACTCCAGACAATAATGTCCACTGCTAAATAACATTTAATATACGCATGAGTCCGTTTCCAACACAACATTGCCGATGCATTCATCGTTTAAATAAACGCATATCTTCTTTATTAGTATTGAAAACGAGCTAACTCGTATGCTTGTTACGGAGATAATAGTGCCGATCGATCGAATTAATACGTCACGTATAATCAATGTTACGTCACACAATATTCACTTGGCCTTTAGGTTGGTAAACAGTAACTTCGTTTGATCAATTTTTGTCATACCTGGTAGAAGCGAGGATAAGTAATTTTTTGTTTGCCTGCCGATTGTACGACACATTTATGGTGTAATTCCTCCGATTTAACGTGTCAACTGCTTTTGAATCAAGACATCGTTAGTCTTGTGCGTAGGCATACGATTGGTCAGCAAACTAAAAATTTCGAGCCTATATCAATTGAATGATAACCAATTATTATAGGCTGGAAAGCTAATGCACAGAATCGTGAGCCAACCAAAAACAAATAACAGCTCATCAATACAATTACTAGGCCTATGCGTTTAGTTTTAAATATGAATTAATACTTCATACTTAATACTTAATACTGACCAATATTATTATTGCAAGTCTACCTGTATGAGGAATACAGTAGGTTTTGAACAAAGAACGTGCGATGTGTGTTAAGCCGGTTACTCACTGCTTCAATCGACGGTCGTAGGCCTAGAATCGTCGCCTGACGAATCCAACTCCGCTCCTTGCGAGCGTTTGACGACGCAACGCCGTTTGCTGATTGTCGGTGAGTCTGACGGATGTCATTAAAAAGTGGCGTTGCGACCTCTATAGAATCGAGTCGGCCGATGACCGTCGGGCGCAGTGTGGGTCTGGCTTTAGACAAGGGTTTGGGGTGGGTGGTGCAATGTGTAGGTACTCTAGTCTAAATAATGCTGCGGTGCCTACTGCACCCCAATGGGCTGTGCCTGAGTAGAGGCGCCAAATGGGGTGCATTTGACGTTTTAAGGATTTATTTTGATGTTTTTACAAATACAACTACAGTATTTACAAAGGTCCATTTAAGGCAACTAATACATACTGCTGGATGTCCTGGAACCCTGGGCCCCAGGCTTTTAGCCAATGAGAGCTGATAAGCCACTGGTTCTAATTCAGTGCAGGGCTTCTAACAATTTGAAGTGAGGTTATCAAATAGGCTAATATAACAGAAAATGTATTTATATTAGTACTTCTTTTCATTTGGCAGCCAAAATTCTGTCACTAGAATCCATATTTAGTTTTGCCTTGTCGCCATTATATTATTGTGGTATCTAGTTCATTATGGTATTCTCCATTCAAAGTGTTTGAACATTTTTTTGACACAAAAATACATGATATATGACAGACACACAAAGACACACAACACAAACCCACACACCCTCACAAACACACCATGTATAT